AGCCTTAGAACAGAGAGCATAATTTATCATGCCTGATACAAGACACCCCTAATTGCACATTGATTTTAAGCCCTTCTCTGAAACTATTTGCGCAAGTTGTAATGTCAGCTCAGTAAACTATGTGTTCAGGGCTGCGGTTCAGATCTGGGGAATGAAGAATTAATCATTTGTTTTTCTTTTCATGTCTATCCAAGATGGTATTTGTTGTTTCTTTTTCCACCTAAAATACTGTAAACTGTAAAAAAGAAAAATGAGCCTTCCTACGCTGTACGTGTAATTTATTGGGTGCAGTAGTGCTGCTGTATTTTATTAGTAATGATGAGATATAACATGGAGATTTTGCAGTTGCCACTGTCAGCAGCCATATCTGGAGGCATATGTAATAATAATACACACTTATAAGGTGGCGTTGTGTGCAATACAATAATAAGACATTATGTGTGCTGTAATTTGATAATGTGACAAACTGACGGCATGACAACACTAGAGTCAGTGCACCAGAGGGATACGCTATACAGACTAACAATTATATATGAATGATTTTCATTGTGCTAAATCCCCTGCTCATGTCCTTTACTCCAAAGCACGCCGAATTCCAGTATATTATCCTAATTATCCATTGTTTACCAAATATCTACAGGCTCATTCAGTTCTCATGGGCAAAGTCAATGTTGCAAGTCTATTAGGGCCTAGTACTTTTCCATTAGCACAGCCAATAAATGCACTGGTATACAGCTTGGTACACAGGATTGGTAAGTGAAAGCATGAGATAGATAGATAGATAGATAGATAGATAGATAGATAGATAGATAGATAGATAGATAGATTAGGTGTTTTGTTTATATTTTAAACCTCAGTTTGTGGCGAAGATGTTGGGCCACAGAGTGATCAGTTTGCCCTCTTCCTCTCTGTGGCCACAGATGGAGCCTTGTCAATCACTCACCTCTAAGAACTGGAGCGTCTGGCTAATTAACAGCATGCTACACTCCGCCAGCTGAGCAAAAGCAACATTCGCATGGACTGCGCAACACAATTGAGGCATCTCGCCCACCATGTCTCCCCTAGTCATTAAGTCGCCCACCTCCCATCTCCAGCATAGAAAGAGTCCCATTACTTGGCCTCTCTGAATTACCATCCCACGCCTGGCATTTTCCTTGTCAGTCAACCGAGGGGTAAATATTGGTTGTGGTGCTGAGAACTGACAGGGGAAACTTGGATTTCTTTCAGAAGTGACAGCACCAACTGGTGTTTTTGTACTGATTTATACTGCAGTTATGAAACAGAGGGGACGCCAGACTGTGGTGAAGTTACAGATGCACCATACACGAGCGTTTTGTGTAAGATGAGCTACAGGCTGGCATACGCGGCATGATATATTGTTGGCACTGGTCAAGTGCTATGTGCATCAAGAGGGAAATAACAGCGTTCAGACTGCAGGAACCTTCCCTGCAATGTAATCGGAAAGTGTCTCATTTAGAAAGTAATAACAACTTTTACCTGGAGAGTCCACCGTGTATAATTGCAGGAATGACCACACTTGGGTTAGTGTCAAAAAATGTGGAACCCATCATGCCTTCTTTTTCTCTCTGCAGACTCTCAGTTTCTTTTAATCTTGCTTTCCTCATTTCTTTTTGTGTGGCGATAACCTCTAGAAATGCTCTCCCACCCCTCAGTGCTCCAGGTTTGCCCACTCTGCTGTTGTAGAAATAAATGGTGTGTGTGTGTGTGTGTGTGTGTATGTCAGTGTGCGTACCCAAGTGTCAGTGTTCAAGTGTGCATTGTGCTCCACGGTGAGCATGAGTAATTTAAGAGCCTTCGCGAGTAGTATGCAGCATGTCTGCATTTGTGTGTGTATACGTGCGTTCTCTTAGCTCCACAGGGCAGGTTGCTTGGTTCGTTCAGATTACACACCTGAATTACAAGTGTGTCTTACATTTTTCATGATCTTATCAATGTAAGCACACGAGACAGGATGAAAAGAACAAAACATTCGTCTTCCACCCTGACAGATGTTCAGTGCTGTGAAGCGATGATTATACTTCTTTTTGATTCGTTTACTTGCTGAAGTTGTCTTTTTTCTTTTCCCTTTCTTCTGCTTTTATTTATTTTTGTATTTCTTTCCTTCTATTTTTTTTTTTTTTTCAAAATCCATGAAGTGGAGTTAAAAATGATATCAAGTGGAGGGAGATAAAAAAAATAAAATAAAAATCATTTTTGTTTTTAACAGAACTTTTTGTGTGTGGTTTGTCGCCAGAAGCGGGGCTCTGTGTCGGCCCCTGTGGTTAGAAAGGAGGTGAGGTCAGACAAGTTTTGCTTCAGCTTGCTTTTTTTCTTCCTGCTGAGTACGAAGCATCTGTTTTTGTTGCGTTTGCAGGTTTGTCTCAGAGGCCTTTTTATTCGTTTGCTTGTTTGTTTTTAGTAAGCTATCTGAATATCTGGTTAGATGGGACACATTTTTCTGCAAATTATACAAATGTTATTAGTGAGTAATAACTTAATGGTCTGTAGCAATTATCAGCCATTAATATGGAAATTATGGCTGTCGCAGTGTGGTTGGAGGGAATTTCTATTTTGCAGCTACAAATTAGAGACTTATGCACAGGTGGAAACTCTTCACTTGTCCTCCCTTTGTCAATGACAATCATCTGAGGCTCTTATCGTCAATGTGAACGCAGCTTAACATATTCAGTAATGAATTATCAAAAAAAAAAAAATGATAATAGCGTTGGGGCTCTAATCTGTTCTAATTACTTTTCAAAAAGCAATATAAGCACCATTCCCTTTGATCTTTTCAGGGAGGAAAACCATCAAGTTGTCTTCGACATGTATCCAGTATGTTTTCATGTAACTCTATGCTTAAAAATGCATATATAGTTTCTGCTTAGTTTTTGTCAGTTTTTCAGTTGGTGAAGCCAGTATTAGAATTTAGAATTGGCAATCTAATACATTAAATAAGTCACTAACTAAGTATAAAGTGCATACATTATAGAAGTGACCTCATTCATCAACTGTAGGAGCTCAAAGGTGACACTTTGACTAATATGTTCAAGTTTTTACAATGTGCAGCGCAGCGTTGAGCATCACTGAGTAATAAACAGTTTCTCACCAACTTTCTGCCTTTCGAAGTCGCCGTCTGAGCTGGGCTGTCTAATTTGAAATTCAAATCATATCCATTGCAATTTCTGATGTTCCTTTACTTACGAAAAGCAAAGCAATGCTCCTTTAAGTTGCTGTAATGATGGTGTTTTTAGAGTTGACCCTCTAACATTTCGATTAGGTTAATTAAGTTTTAAGCAGGCCCTTTCCCCTCTGCTTGAACTTATATTTTGAACTCTCCCTTTTCCAGCTTTAATGATGATTATTTCACCTAGCATTACATGTTTCCTTCCCTCGGAGGACACAGATATGAATTCATTACACTGCTGCTCATTAGAGCACTGAGGAAATTCATTTTTATCAGCTACCGCACGAGGAAAAAGTCAAAAAACAAAATCAAAACAAGAGTAATAACACACATATTAGTGCGCTTCAAGCCTTCGACAAGAGGGGAAAATTTGTTGCATGACTGAAATCTCATGCTCGTTACCTTCACATGCAGGTTACAACGTGCTGTTGGATTTCTTTTCTTTATTTTCCCCTTCAATACTGACACACATATTTTAGAGAGCCGTGGAAATACTGTGTGAGAAACCTGTAGACTAACAATAGATTGCTTACCGTTGCACTTTCCTGTCAATGTGCAGACAAAGTGCCTGTTTGTTTGCCAAGACACTGACATATGTAGTTTTTCACCCCAGCAGTGTCTGAGATCAGGTTTGTGTTGAAGCATGACCTATTAATGAACTATCACCTCTAACCATAGAGTGCAAAACAAAACAAAAAAAAAAGAAAGCTGACACCATCAAATTTTAATGCTCACCGAGCCTTCAGACTTTAAGAGTGCCTGAGAAATAATTTCACCACTCAAGTTTAACAGGGAACAACAGCAGCATGGCGAAATGGCCTCAGCTGTGCTTTTTTCTTTTGCTGGCACACCAAGTACCAGGTCAGTCTGAACATGTGTCTGTTGTGTTAGAAAATGTGTTATTGTTATATCTTTTTATAGCTTCTTTATCCTGTTAGGCATGCACTTTCAGTTTTGTTCAACCATGAATATATTATAATTATTTACTTTTTAGACATTTTAACACCCATGACAGTGTTCATTAGTAATCTTCAATATTTTTGATGAGACATTATAATAATTGATTATAAAAGCTGCTACAAGCTTGAGAAATCCTTCCATCCTATGCATAAACCAATGCCCTGGATCCAGAAGAGCATTTAGAACTTAATTAATTTGCAATATTTTGTCAAGGACATCAAGTGGATGTCTCACAATTTCTAATATTTCAAGCTGATATGAGTTTATGAAGGTGTAGCTTGAAATGTCTGTCTTGCTTAGCTACTACTAGACTCCACTTCTAGCTCTCTTAATAACAAACAGACACAAGCAGCCAATCACAAAACCTTCCTGCCAAAAGTAATTAATATAAATAATGTGATAAAATTTTGTAGAGTAGGATTTTTGTGGTTGCCGATTTTTTTTACAACTCTACTGTTGAGTGTTTTACCGCTTATCTTATCGCTTGTATTTCATCATTAAACTTAATGATCGCTGCTCACACTTGGCTATATAAGCAGTTGCTACAAATAAATCTCTTCAAAGCTGGTGAGACCCTTTGTGTTTGAGTGTTTCTGCAGAAGTGTTTTTTTTCTATTATCTTTTGGTTTTTCTCAGTGGAAGCCATTTAATAAGTTGCGTGCTATAAAAACTTCACTAAACTAAGTAAAGTCACTCCTCCGTTTGTTTGAGCTTTATGTCTGATCTTCTCTGTCTGGCATATCTCACTCCCAGCTGTCACCCAGGCATACTAAACACACATTTTAAAGTATTTGTAGTTGACCCAGAGGTCTGATCTGCACTTTTTAAAAAGTTGCTTGTATGACACATTGTATTAATGGCTCTGTCTTTAGCCCTGACAGCGACCCCGGAGGGACTGAGGGTTAGGCAGCATCCTCCATCCCTCAGTGTGATGCGGGGTGAGACGGCAACTCTGTCCTGTCATTTCAAAGTTGAATCCCTAAAGTATGGAGTTCAGTGGTTCAAGTCGGAACAGCAGCTCATCTCAAACTCATCCAGGCAAATCGTTGTGGCGAAGAATCAAACTTCCTCCTTGGTGATCACTAACACTACAATTCAGGATGCTGGGTGGTATTACTGCGAGGTGAACGTCCTGAAGAAGGACCCAGAATGGGGCAACGGCACCAAGCTGGTCGTCTTGGGTAAGAAACAAATCGGTGGTTTCAGAAATGAACATGCCCACAATTTATTAGGACCGCTCCGCCCGGGTGATGTTGCCATGCTGGTAATTATGTCTCATTTGTATCTTTTGTACACTGGAGCCACGACGTTCAGTACGAGGCAGCTCGATACAAGCACCGGCAAAAAACATGTATCACCATAAAACGAACGTAAGGGCTCAATCTTATAATCTATAAAAATTCAAGTCATGTGAAATTCCCTCAGAGTTCATCTTTTTGCCTGAGCAGTTTCATGACAGATCTAGAAATAATCACCCCGGCACCATACGCAGTGCCTTGTATCGATCTTGCCCAGGGAATTGAAACTCCCCAGAAAACAAGGCAGGGAGGGATGGCCAAATTATTATGTGGAAATCCTTCATGCGGAAGAAAGCTTCCTTTTGATATTCCCTGATTGCAATGCTGGCTCCACCGAATAAAAATGGATACTGCATCTTTTTTCATTTTCATTTTGCATCTTTTTTCATTTTCATTTAATTTCTCATGCAAGATTTATTCTGCCGATTTGAATAATTTTTTTTAATCCGAGTGTTATTGATATGTCTACTTGTTGTTAGTAATCTACGCAACATTGCTTTCAAATTATATACAGTTCAAACTGCAATACTGGACATCAGTAGTAGTAATTGATTCAGTATAGAAGACCCTATGCAGCATTTATTAATACACGATTTCTTTTACTACTAGCACCACCTTCTGCTCCAAAAATATACCTCCAGATTCCCCCAGAACCACACACCGATCAGTGGGCTCTCCTGTGTCTCACCGGAGGTTTCTACCCCAGTAGACTCACTCTCACCTGGACCTACCAAAGCGCAGCAGCCGTTATCGATCACCTCTCAGTCACCAATTGCACCCTTCCTGCTGACAAGCATCACAGCAACCTGTCTGAACATCCACCCAATGAAGCCCTGCTGTCTTCAGATTTGTTGGTGAACTCTGAGCCTCAGCGCCAGTCGAAGTGTCTCCAGGTGATGGACAACCACAGCCGGGAAAAGTATCTCCTCAGTGTTTTTTCTCTCCCAAATAAGCAGTCCTTGAAAACAGGCGTAACCTTCACATGTTGGGTGCAGGACCACCCTGCCATGACAACTGCTCTGACTGCCTCCTTCACTTGGGGTAAATAAGGCAGGAAAATTAATTAATTTTCTAAATATGTTAATCTTATACAGGAGAAAAGTGTCTCAAAGGCAGCTATTGAGATAATGAATGTAGGATTTTCTTTTTTTATATAATTAAAATTCCCTTTTGGTATTTTTTTAATCAAATTGTTATCCTCCCAATGAAAAATGGGACTTTATGCCACAGGTTTTAATTATTTATCTTTGTTTCTGAAAAAATGTGGTTTTTCTTCTGTCGGTTCAGCGTGACAGATGGTTCTAAATATTACGATACCTACTGTTTGTTAAGGAGAAGGATGTCAGGGGCTTGAATCACTGCTGTAGCAGATTTAGAGCTCATGTCACAGCACAAACACAGCTCCTAGCTGCTGAATTCATCTAACTTTGACCTAGAATAGGAAAGTGAACTAATTTAAACCGCTGAATGAATTAAAATGTTTTAGCTTCAGCCTGTTGTTAGCACTTCACACAACCTTAATTAGATTTATTTTTTTTATTTTTTTTGAGAATGCAGTTGACTTTTTATGTAAACTGTTGATTAGCTGGCAGGTGCCCATTGTTTATTAATGTCACATAATGCTCTTATCTTGATTTTCTGACATCTGATAAATGTGGGCTCGGTAATGTCTGTACTTTCAGTTCTGACAAAACCAGCCTGCTTTTTAGCCAATAAACCAAAGACTGCGTCCACTCACTGTCTGTTAGCTTTGTGCTGTTAAGTGTTTGAGGTAGAAGAATTGGGATTTTGAAAGCTTATGCCTGAAGCGTCTAAAAGAGCAGAAAGTAAAATGGATTAGCAGATTTATGTGTAAAAGAACAACAACATATAAAAACACACAGTCAACAAAACAATGAGCTAAAAGCACAGTTTTTATTAGATGGACATTAGCACTGCAATGTCACCCTCTGGTTTGTGAAGCCTTTGTTTGAAGCCTCTATATTAGCATTTTCGTTTTTATGTTATTACATATTGTTCTTCTGGAGCCAGAAGTGACCATATTTGGACAATGAAGTGGAGTGCTCAGCTATCAACTAACGCAGGCTTGATTAGAAAGGTGTATCCATAGGCTGTATGAAGGCAGACAAAGAAACCTGGTAATCAGTACAACGCCACAAACACAGGTGAGAGGTCTGGCTCAATAATTGAAATTAGCACAGGCGACAGCATCCACCTCTCTACCCTTTCCACTCCTAATTTAATCGTAACAGTGATTTTGTTTATTGATTGCTTGTTTTAAAGTTTTTTAACATGAGATTTTTTTGAGACAGTATAAAAGGTGGACATAGCTACAATAACATCAGATACTGGCTCGTGAAGATCCGTATTGAAGATCTGTACGAGGTTAGCGCTTCCACCATCAGCATCTTGTGAAACTTCATGCTTATTGGTTAATGACTCGTGATGGACAACTCATTAGCCAATGTCGCAGTCTTTTAGGCAATTCTACGTTGTCTTTGTTTTTATGGTCAGAAGTGTACGTGCACTCATCATGGGAATTAATGCTATGGTAGGTTTGGGCCTTTATTGATTTCTTTGAATTGTTCTTTTTCCAGGGTGGAATGGTTGTACAGCATGCATCTTTAATGACTTTAAAAAAACAAGAATTTGGTGAACAAGTTTAAAATTAATTGCACATATATACACACCCACTAATATTCCCTTTGCAAGTTGCACTTTGAACAGAAACCTTTGGTAGACACAACCAGGCTCCTGGTGTAATTGTTGTATGGATATTTGACCGGCCTTCTTGGGAGAATTAGTAGACTTCATTTAACTTGGTTGGTTCTTGATTCCAGAAGAAATGTCAAAACAACTTCCAAGAGCTTCTGTTCAAAGAGCTGTACATAGCATACATAAGAATACAGTTATTCTGATGTGTCAGTAATTCAAGATGATGAGAGGAAATTGGATGGGATGTTCAGGAACAACCCAGAAACCACCAACACTCAGGCCTGCTATGAACTGGAATCTGCTGGAACACCATGTTACTTTCCAGAGTGAAGCAAGTTTTATATCATATTTGACTCAAAGGCTGTCACAGAAAATATTAATGGGGGTGTATGTATATATTTTAGATTTTATGTATAATTTTGACTCTGTGTTAGTTACAGAAAAAACCTCAAATCATGTCATTCATGCCTGTGATGAGTCAAAGTAAGCTTGTGAGTTTCACTTTTGTTGTCAGCCTCAAGTGGCCAGTTGAGGAACCGCAGCTCTTGCACAGTGGATTTCATTTTTTTAGCCCAGGAGACAGTTGCTTCATTTATAGATGCTATAACATAACCTCACAGTAAAGGTAATTACAGGCTCATGTCATTACTTTAAAAATTAGTTTGAGGAGCTTTAGTTTTTTTTATGTATACAGGCCTGTGTCTTATTGTGGTGGGGCGTGGTCTGCGGCGCCGTGCAGGGAGGGCGGACGCAACTGCACGGCATCCTTAATCACGCCCGCCTAGTTATAAACACGGGAACTCAGGGGTTGGTGTGTTGTGGTGTGACAAATATTGAATAAAATGGCTCAAACCTATGATCCCTGGACCCTCATTCACACCACACTTATATTTTATCAGTCTGATATTTGTAATGCAGTAGCTCTGCTTACAAAACAAAGATTCATCAGGAGATTTTTTTTTATATTCATCACAGCCTCAGAGGGGCTTTAACCACAGGTTCCATTACCTTGTCAAAGCAGACTTTTTTTTTACTGAGAATACCCCAAATCTCTTTTTAATCTTCTTTACTGATCTATAGGAAAAAATCCCTTTAATAAAACAATGTCTTCACGAACCACAGGTCCTGACATACTACCCGTCACTTGCTCAGTATTCACTACCACTTCACTCTTAATCTGGGTCACACATTGATCATTCCAAAGCAACAGATTGCCTGCAATACTGCATACTTGAACAAATTAATGATTTTCTCCAATCAATCCTTACACACCTCTCCTCCCAGGGAGGAGGAGATGGTCCGTCAGCCAAAGCCAGCTCGACCTCCTTGATTTAATTCTGTCACGCTCAATAACATGATAAGTCGGTGCTAATCAGTGTTTATTTTCTTCTTCTTTTTTTTTTACAGATGCCCCACCCAATGAGCTGATTTTATACTTGAACATTGCAAAGATGTGTTTCCTCTCTGCAACGACCGTTTGTTTTTTATTGAATGGTAAGAGTAATTCTGTTTTGCTAGAATTGCATGTAGTTGTTAAAAAAAAAAAATTTAATTTTTGTGATCATCAATTTTCTCAATCTTGTGCCACACAGCAGTCAGAAATATCTGGGCGAAGGGAAAATGAAATCTGCCACGTGAGTACTGTGTTCTTCAACCTTTGACAAACACACATAAGCACACACACACACACAAGGCTGATTTTCTTATTGTTTTATCCCTGTAACTTATCACACATCATTAAGGAAAAGTCAACAGTGATGCAATAACCAAATATTGTGTTCCAGGAAAGACAAAATGAAAAAGGAGAAAGGATTGTCGGCTGTTCAGCTGAGCTCTTCTCATCAGACCAACCTTTTACAAACAACATTCAACTCATCAGGAAAAGAAAAAACAATTATCAGTGAATGATGTGCATAGGTCCGTCTCACTTTTCCATGTGAAAAATTCACCAGATTTTAAACCACATCTGTATGTATGTATATTCTGCTGTGCTCTTTCATAGTGTATAATCTGTAATCGCTGATGTGTACAAGTGACTCATCCCTGTAACTTTTTATCCTATGGCATGCTGACTCGCAGATTTTTGGGTTTGTTCGTCGTGTCGATGGCTGTTAACCCACACGTCTTAGTCATTCGCTGGGGTCTGTTTGTCAAAATGAATGATTCATGCGCGATCCACCTGTCAAACAGATACAGTGATCGGCTCAACCTCTGTGCAGGCCTAATCCTCGCTAAATAGGATTACAGCCGATGCCAGCGCTTGCTTGTGTGATAGCATTGTTTATGTTTGCAGCGTGTGGGGTGAGATCTTGATTCACTTTTTGGAGGAAGTTCATTTTAAATTTAGGCCAGCCCACACTGCCAAGAATTTAAAAAAACAAATACTGGCAGAAATGATGAACGTTGAACAGCTGAGTGAGCTGATGGATCTTCAGTATAATCAGATTAGTGACATCAAAAATCAAAGAGGCAGCTCAGTAAGCTTTCTATTACTCATCCTGCTTTTATGTGTAAATACATAAAATGTGCATAAAAACATTTACATATGATATCACTGAGCTGCCGATGGCAACTGTTGATCACTTGATGCAGGCGGTCTTTACGGGCATTTTTCATATTTCTCATCCCCCTTCTTTCCAAAACAAATTAGTCCTTATCTCTTTTCTTCCGCTCACTCATACGCACACAATCACCTTGTACCTGTCTGCTGCCCATGTTGAGGTTATTGATTAACTCAATTTATTATTGTACAGTTCGTTTATGAAAATAATGTTTGTGCGGTTTGCTTTTGCTTCCATCAGTCCTTTCTTCCTTTTCCCGTCATTACACTCACACGTGTGTGTGTCCACACAAACACTGTTTACACCTGCTGGCGTGGTGTCTTTACAAAATAATGCATGAGTCAGACATCATGCAAAATGTATAATCTTATTTGAATATGAAAATAAGCTTTATTTACGTGTTATTATATTATTACAACCCCGTCATGCATATATATGTGTACATTCATACATCTCTCTTTCTTTATATATCCCATATAAATATAAGAACAGCCATCATCATGCAAAAAACATTACAAATTTAAACATATGTACAATTACAAAGCGAACTGCTCTCTGTTTTCAGCATGCTTGTATATGCATGAAGATGCCACGCATTTTCTCTTTCTTCTGCTACTTCTTCTTCAACCACCACTGCTTAACACATAATGACCATATTGTTGCAAACAATATCCTGTCACGACTAAGGATGTTGGTTGGAACATTTAATCTGTAGCTGCGGAGAGATGACGTGCAACTCTGTTGCTTAGATATTCATTTTGTTACAGTCTCTG